AGAGGAGGGAGAGGGCCCGAGGGAGTGTGCAGCAGAGGGGTGGCCAGAGGAGGGAGACGTGAGGCTTTTGAAGTGGAGGTGAGTGAGATGGATGTGCTATACTTGAAAATCGGGCTCATTACTTTATACTCATTTTCAGCAGTGAGTGCTATTATCTGCTTACGTCACTGTATCATAAGATTTGTTATTTTTGCCTGTTTCCAAAAAACAGGCAATCTGAAATCTGCCTGTGAAGAACTCAGGTTTTTCACCACCTGAGATGCAAAGAGTATGTGCTGTGGTTTCTAAAGGCTATTTCCAAAATATACCTCTAAATTGCTCTGTATTTCCAAGACTTAGCCCAGGGCTGGACGTGCATTAAGCATGGTTGTTTGTATTTTTTTTAGGGAAGGGTCTGCAGGATGTTCAGGGTCTCGCTACTAGATCGGACTCATAGTGATCCGCCTGTTCACAGCCTCCCAAGAGCTGGGATTGCAGGCACGCGCCACCATGCCCAGTCTCAGTTGCCATCTGAGGGTGCCCCAGGGGCGGGGCCGGCATGGCAGGCCCGGCCGGGGATCAAACCTCTGGCCCCTGCACCTGCTTGCAGGTGCTTTAATCTGCTGAGCTATTTGGATGTCCCAAGCATGTTTGTTTTTAAAGCAGTGAACAGCATCACAGACTATCGTGTTGTCAGTTTCCATGATGAGCAGTCTCCTGGCTGTCAAGCACTGCATGAATTCGAAAGTCCAGATGGTGGGAAGAGCCATTGCCATGGCTCGTACTAAACGTTTACCACAGCTCATGTGTGAGGCTTTCATTGTTACCTCACTTCATCTTCCAACCACCTAACAAAAGCACAGTTTGGGTTTTCCTCATCCACAGCACTTAGGACCAGAAGAATTTCATGTTTTGGAATTGTTTGGATTTTGGAATTTTTATATCACCAGTGACGTACCTGGGAAATGGAATCCAAGTCTACAGACGAAATTTATTTATAGGGTTTTTCTTTCAGTTTTTATTTTTTGTTAATACCTGGCTTATAGTACATGATAAGGAGAAGTTGATACCTGTCATTTATGCTTCATTGGCGCCTCAAACACTTGGCCCACAGGTAATTCTAGACAGTATTTTTACTACCCCTGTGTTTATATTCACCCATCACAGGAGGTCAGGTGTGGAACTTCCCACTTGTGGCTTTGGTGCAGATGGTAGCGAGCCAGATGGAAAATGCTCTGTACCAAGCAGTTGAAAAGCAAAGCTCATTAGCACCAGCGAGCTGGTGGGAGCAGGTCCAAATCATCAGCTTGGGCTTAGAATAGGACAGCAACTTACATACACTTTGTGAGCAGGAAGTATAGAGTTGATAATAGGTGCGTCTGTGATTGGTTATATACATTTGGTCACGTATTGCCAGGCAGATGTGTCGGGCCAGGTTTGTTTATTTATTTATTTATTTATTTATTTATTTTGGCAGAACCGGGGATTGAACTCAGGCCCTTGCACTTGCCAGGGAAACGCTTATTCCACTGAGCCATCTCCCCAGCCCCTTTTTCTTTTCTTTTTTAAAATTTTTTACTTATTTTTTTGTGTCAGGGCAGGTTTAATTGGAGGGGGCCGTTCATCCTGAGGCGGGAAGGCCTGGGGAAGTCAGGGTCCAGCATGGGAGTAAGATTTAGTGTGTCCTTGACAGGGCTGGTGTACCCAGGGACACAGTCTGAGACAGGAAGTGTGTGCAGACCCTGTAGTTAGTGGGATGGAACTGGGCCAAATTGTCTGAGTTGCAGCTGGGGTCTGATGGCCCAATTTTGAAGCTATAGTTTTAAGTTTTTCTACTGCAGCTTATATTAATGTTCAGATCTTTTCAGATTTTGAAGCGTTTTGGATTTTAGATATTTGTATTGTGGTTATTCAACCTTTCGCTAAGTTTTAATTCATGGCTTTTTTTTTTTTACAGTAAGATTGTGGTTCAAAGTTAAATAGGGTAGCATAACTAATAAATTGTGTGTTAGGTAAGCAGTTCACAGTGTGTGTTCTGGTTATGGGCCACTTTTCAAGCATATCCATTTATACTGAATATCCATTTATTCAGTATTATAAGTTGCTTCATAATTTATTTTTTAATTAATTTTAATGAGAAAGAAATACAAATGAGACAGTTTTAAAACAGGTCAGTAGGACAGTTACAGCAATACATTGGGCCAGGGAGATGGCTCAGTGGAGTAAGCGCTTCCCTGGCAAGCACAAGGGCCTGAGTTCAATCCCTGGTTCCGCAAAACAATATACATTGCATATTGTTTTCATAGTAGTTATTCAGATTACAAGATGCAACATATTTTGTCTGAACACTATTAGTACAAATCCCTCTTCTCATTGAACTAAGAGAAAGTAGCTGTATATCCTAACTATTTTATATATACAGTATATTCAAAATGTTCCTTCATTTATATCCCCCTTTTTTGTTTTGTTTTGTCAGAGATGGATGTTCCATTGCCATTCAAGTATTGTAGGTGCTTGAATTCAGGAAAATAATCCAATATAGTCCAAGTCCATAATAGTAGTGGGTTATCCATAGGACTGGCAATGTCAGAAGTTGTTGACTTGAGCCTTTTACAGTTCAGCATATTAATATGGCTTTACTTTTTATATCCAATGATTATATTTTTCTACTGGATGGTTAAGGCCAAGATAAAGCAAGACCTATATAACTAAAAATGTAACTTTTATATCAGACAAGGTCAGTCAAATCCTCTCAGGTTTTACTGCTTCATAGTTTAAACATCTTGTTAGGTCACACATGCTTTCTCAGGTATAACTCTGAAAACTAGAAGAGGATTCACTGAGCATATCCGCATCCTTCGCCTGGCTACAAGCAGGCAGGTGTTCCCCCGCCAGTAAGGCTGCACTTGCTTCCCCTTTCCCCCTACGTCACAGGAGCTCTCCTCTGCCTTCACCATCAGACCCGCACAGTTCTTAAGGACACTAACTCAGTGCCATTCCTTTCTCACGGAGGTTTTGGTGGCTTTATGCTACTGGACAGGGGCATACTTGGGGCATAATGATTCTCTTGGTTTTGTGTGACAGTCATGAATGGTAACAACTTTAACTTGATTTCTAAGAGCTGCTGATCTATGGACGCCCAGTGTATGTCACTCTGATAGCCAGAAGATCAAGCAAGTTTGCTGGGACTCGTTTTCTCAAGAGAGGTGCAAACTGTGAGGTAAGATGACAAATATTGTGGGTGCTGACCTTTTAAGCTGTCACAGCAGCCTTCGTGACACAGATGAAGCAAGTGGAATTTTAAAAGTAGAATTCCTTTCTTTCTTTTTTTTTTTTTTTGTGGAACTGGGGATTGAACTCAGCCCCTTGTGCTTGCCAGGCAAGTGCTTATTCCACTGAGCCATCTCCCTGGCCCCAAAAGTAGAATTTCTTAGTCTGGGATGTTATCTTAAAAATAATCCCTCAGGATAGGTGAAATTTGTGAGAAATGTGACTAATACACAGATCTTCCAGAAGATCAGCTGTTTTAGGAAGAATTATGCAATCCAACCATGGAATGTTTGATGCTTTGGACAGTGAGACATTCTGAAGGATGACAAAAGGATGCAATGTATGCTTGCTGTGGTGTGAGAACAGCGAAGCGTCTCTGCACAAGGAAGAGTGAGGGGTTGCGGTCCTCAGCTGCGAGACGCCCTTCGTGAGAGCCCAGCGAGGTCTGATGGATAACGAAGGGATGCAATGTATGCTTGCTGTGGTGTGAGAACAGCGAAGCGTCTCTGCACAAGGAAGAGTGAGGGGCTGCGGTCCTCAGCTGCGACACGCCCTTCGTGAGAGCCCAGCGAGGTCTGGGAAGCCATTTGCCTCTCCCCTTTCCCAGACCTCTTCTGTTCATGCTCAGAGAAATCCACCAAAAGCCCCCCTTCCTGCTGCCAGCCACGTCAGCAGTCTGAAATGCTGCATGTCTGCTTGTTCCAAGCAGTTTGCATCTCTACCAGATGTGTGATTGAATGGACAGATAGAGTGAGGACTGGGTTTTGGTCCTGACTTGGAACAGCAGCATTGTACTTAGAATTATATCAGTGCTCAACATTGCACTGCTACTTTAAGAAAAATCAGAATTGTGCAGCTCTTAGATACTTTTGAATATTCAAAAGATACTCGGAGGACCAGCGAGATAGCTCAGTGTACGAAATGCCTGCTTAGGCAAGCGCAGGGACTGGGATTCGATTCCCGGCACCACATGCCACGCTGGCCCTGTCCCTGGATGCACTGAGCCTGCCACTGAGTCCGGGAGTGGTGTCACACACCTGTAATCCCAGCAGTGGGGAGGCTGAAAACAGGAGGATCACTATGAGTCCAAGCTGCATTGTGAGACCCTGTACCAAATACATTTAAAAAAGAGAAGAAAAAAATCTCAGATGTTCTTCATTGTATCCTTAAATATTTTTATAAGTAAAGCTACTTCCAAGTCTTCCCTTCTGCCAGTCAGGTATTGTTGGAATCTTACTCGTATCCTTTCTTTCCTCTTTAGTCTTCCGAATTGAATTTGTATCACTCTGGTCTTCCTCCTCCCCCTATTATCTCATGTGATTGTTTTTTTCTTTTCTCTTCCCCCTTACCATTTGTGCCAGTCAGGCTGTTATCTATTATTTGTCATTAGCTATTTAATTTCATGTTTTTCCTAGTCTATTCTCTACTACATCCAATTGATATTTGATTCATTTTTTGAATGTTCAAATAAAAAGTTTATTACTGTAAAATAGTGCCATTAATTGCCCTCAGAATCCTCCCGCTCTCTGCAAACGCTCCTGTCCCATCATTCCTGCTACTTCCTGAGACTTGAAGTCCTCCTTCATCACTGCTGTCAGGTGCCCTGTTGTGGCTACCCTGATCAACTGAAGCCGCTCAAAAAGATCACCTCTACTCGAGACAGGGCCTTGCTGTGCATTCCCGGCTGGTCTTGAACTCACTGTGTAGCCAAGACTAGCCTCGCGCTTGTAGCTGTCCTCCCGCCTCAGCAGTGCTGAGATCATGGGTGCGTGCCGCTACGCCTGGCATGGTGCTTTTCTTTGTTACATTTTAATGGTTTGCTTTTCTACTGTGCACATTAAATACTGACAGTTTAAGAATAGGCCTCATGATTTCGTGGTATTCGTGATATTCTTGACCTTTCTCATTACACTGTTCTAAGAACATAAAACATCTTTGAATGTTTCTTTCTTTCCAGGGTGACGTTGCCAACGAGGTAGAGACTGAACAGATACTGTGCGATGCGTCTGTGCTGTCCTTTACTGCAGGAAGTTACTCTTCCTACGTGCAAGTTAGAGGCTCGGTTCCCCTGTACTGGTCGCAGGACATCTCCACCATGATGCCCAAACCTCCGATCACACGTGCGTACGTGCATGCGTGTGTGCGTTGGGGGCAGCAGGCCTTTGACAGGAACACTCCTGCACTCACATTAGGGATAGCGAGCTGCTGTTCCAGAAGCCTAATAAATGCTTGTGTTCTAATGAGGCTTTATCCTGCAAGGTAGGGAGTTTAGAAGAATAACTTGTAATATTTTATATAATAAATTTAAAGGGACCAGGGATATAGCTCAGCAGCGTAAGTGCCTTGCTGGCAAGGGCGAGGTCCCAAGTTCAATACCCAGTACCACAAAAAAAAAAGAAAGATAAAAGATAAATATAATACATTCATACTTCGTTTTGACTTAGTTGTATTTCTCTTCAAAAATGTAGGAAACATTCTCGTTTAATAAGTACATGATGAGTATACTCAGTCAGCTTCCTGAGAAGGATTTGGGAAACAAAACCATCAGATTAGTTGAATTTTACTTCAAACATGAAAAGCCCTCACTTTTCCCCTTGCTGTGTGACTTCCCTCCGGCGTTTCCCGCCCTTCTCTTCTTCAGTCGACCAGGCAGACCCCTTCGCGCACGTGGCTGCTCTGCACTTCGACCAGATGCTTCAGAGGTTTGGCTCCCCCATCATCATCCTGAATTTGGTGAAGGTACAGTGTTCTCGCGCCCTGGGCCAGCCCAGCTCTACCTCTTCTGGAGGACAGGTTGAGGCGCCCGTGTGTGGCGGCCCTGCCTTTGTGTCTAGGAAAGCTGGGGAGGGGAGCATGAGGGCCATTGGGCACAGCCAGTTCAGTAGGTGGCCCTAAAAGCTGCAGAACGAGTGACTGTGCAGTTAAGAACCAAAGCTAGGTTTAGAAGCTGATGCTCTCTGGTGGCTCAAACTGAGGCCGGCACATGGGAAGCGCAGGCAAGCAGGTATCCGTTGCCTGTAGTTCTCTGCTGCTGCGTCAGCGCACCCTGACCGGCCGGCTTACCTTCCATAAGTGACTGGGTATACAGGTCAGAGGCCTAGGTGGAGAGGGGAGATGCCGCTCACAGAATAAGGTAATCCACCTGTTGCAGCCAGGTGAACTCAGGGAACCTCAGCCAGCAGCCGAGAAGACCCAGAGAAGGAGAAAAACAAGCTGTGCTGCATTGTAGTTGCTGTACCAGCAGCACAGTAGCAAGGTTATTTTGAGAGGTTGATGAAGAAACGCAGCAAAAACCCAAGGCCCCTGTGTCCAGTTAGGCATTTAACAAGTAGTTTTGAGGGTTTCCTGCCCTCAAAAAGGAGCAGATTGTGAAATAAGGCGGAGGGTTGGTAGCAGAGGAACTTCCAGTGGAAGTGGGGTCTTCCCTAGGACAGGAGGCAGGGGCACTGGAAGGAGGAGGCACTGTGAGGCCACCGGGAGGGAGCAGCACTCAGTGTGGGCGGAAGGGCATGGCTGGGTGTGTGTGCACACATGCCTCCTCTCCCTGACAGCTTTGATTTCTCTTAAAGTAGCAAGAAAAGGCATCTGCTAGAGTGGAGGATTGGGGACCGTGGAGCAGGGGTAACATCTCAGATAAAGTTGATTGGAAACACTAAGGCAGCGCTAAGAGCCAGTTTCCAGCTGACGATTATGGTTTCCTACATGAACCACTCTTCCGTTGGCTCGGCCCCCGCGGTTGTGTGCGGGCGTAAGCACTGTGCTGGGCTCCGCTTGCTTGGCGGGTATGACCTACAAAGACAGGATCAAAGGCATTTTGGATATTGGCAGTAATATGAGAGAAGCGGCCATGAAAACTGAGCTAGACACGGAGCGGGGTCAAGGAGGGCGGCAGAGTAGAGCTGTGGCTGGAGCTCAGGTCCTGGAGGCAGGCACATGCGGGGACAGCATGAGTCAAGGAGGTTCTAGATAGGAGACGAAGGGAGCAGTTACCTGTAATCCCGACGTGAGTGGGCCCTTGGGCTGTGGAGGTGCATCCTAGACTGCACTCGGTCCCTGGTTCACTTCTCTCCGACGTTCCTCCCGCTCTGCTTCTCGGTGTCCTTGTTCCAAGCCTGGCTTTCTGCATGCAGCTGTGCTTTTGAGCCAGCTGGCTATGGGCTGGAGCTTCTGAGCTGTGTTACTGAGTACTGTGGCCGGCCACAGAGCTGAGTGCAGGAGGATCGAGAGTCCTGAGAGTCACTGGGTGGGGGGCGGTGTCAGGGCCAGGGTGAGGAGGAGGGAGTTCTGGGAGTGGTTTGGAGTGCGTGTGTGCCCATGTGTGCATGCACGCATGTCATTAAGAGGGTGGAGGAATGTGGCCTACAAGGGGCAGGGGTTAGGACAGGAGGGAGACAGCAAGGCAGTTAGCTTTACTTCATATAATTACATCCTATCAGGGATTGCTTTTTTTTTTTTAGAT